CATTCAGGAGGCTGAGGCAGGAGAATTAGAGAGTTACAGGCCAGCCTGAGATTACATAGTGAGTCCCTATCTCCAAGAAACAAAAACAGTGGTAGCTTGGAGCTATGAGGTGGTGGGTCCGGACACGTTGATCAGTGGATGTTGAGTTTCAGGTAACTAGGGTGTAAATAGTTTGGGCATACTATCACCATACTGTAACTATAGGTAGCAATTGTGAACTTGACATTTAAAGATGCTGGAAGAGAGGATTTAAAGAAATGATAAATGTTTGAGGAAATAGATACATGTACTCTTGCTTTGAAACATTACATGGAACCCTATAAGTATACATAATTTTCCTTTTGTTATATCTGTTAAAGCCTGAATTTTAGGCTGGGTGGCAGGGGGACTGTGCCTTTGATTCCAACATGAGAGGCAGAGGCAGGTGGATCTCTGTGAGTTTGAGGCCAGCCTGGTTAACATAGCAAGTTCTAGGACAGCCAAAGCTACACAAGACCTCTCTCCAAAAAAAAAAAAAAAAAAATACAAGAATATCAGTTCATTGCTTTGAGTTGAGTGCCTGCTATGTCTAACAATCTCAGTTAGACATAACTCAGGAAGAAGTGGGAATTGGCAGTCATCCTTCCTCCACTCTTCAGGCCAGCAACTGCCCTAATGCCCCTTTGCCATGACTTTTTGAGTCACTAGGGCCGTTTGCTGAACCTAAGCTGCTCCACAGTGCCTACCTTCGTGCTCTCAATCACTGCAACCACTCAGGTAAGCTCTGCAGGTGGAACAGTAGTGGGCTGGAGGGGGATCCTTAAGACAGGCCAGGTGTGGAGGCTTTGAAAAGCACATCAGCGTACACCGTCTCTGCTTTTCTAGGCTCTCGCCTTGATAGAACTTTACAATGCTCCTGAGGGTCGCTATAAGCAAGATGTGTACCTGCTGCCCAAGAAAATGGGTAAGCTGTTCCTCCTTCCCATTCTCTCCAAAGCAGTGATCCGTCAGAAGCTGAAGGAAGCTTGGAGACATTAACTTCCTGTGGGGTAGGGGAGAAAACATCTTTACCTTATAAAACAGGAACTAAGGAGTCGAGGTTATTCTATTCCCGAGGTGACTTGTGTGATTCTCACATAGGTTTTCTAGAGAGTTCTTGCATTTTGCTGCGATTTTAGAATACCTGCCTGAAATTATTTTATTATGCCCTATTGCATTGCATGTATATTTATGTTGAGAGACAGGGTCTCACAATGTAGCCAAGGCTGGCATTGAACTCACTCCTGTTTTCTATCTAGGATTCCTGGCCTACCAAATTAAATTTTAAAGATTTTCTCTTTTAAAAGAGTATCATATGCGTAAAAATCTCAAGGAGAAACTATTCTTTCCAAAAGAAAATATCTCAGCCTTGTGATATCTGACTTATTCCAGTTCTAAGATGATAAATAGCCCCTTCTTTTAGGGATACAGGTTCCTGTTAAGAGTTAATTATGGTCAGGGGTGGCCAGCACTCAAGAAGGCAGGAACAGGTGGATCTGTGTGAGTTCAAGGCAGCCTGGTCCACAGAATGAGTTCCAGGACAGCTAAAGATGTTACACAGAGAAACCCTGTCTCAAGAAAAAAAGAAAGAGAGAGTTAGTTATGTAGGTGATTGGTATAATAGAAACATTAAACTGTCTTAAATTTTTAAAAAGCCTGTCCCAAGCACCTAGGTGACATAAGCTCAGGGAATAAGTCAGCTTCTGGCTCTGCTCGATGACTTTTGCCAAGTTGCCGTATTTCCCCTTAGTACAGTTTGAATGGATCTAAGGTGGTAGCACAGGCCTTTAATGCCAGCTCTCAGGAGGCAGAGACAGGCAGATCTCTATGAGTTGAGACAGCCTGGTCTACAGAGCAAGTTCCAGGACAGCCAGGACTACACAGAAACACTGTCTCAAACAAGGAAACAAAACAAAGCTACCACAGTTTGGAAGGGTATGGAATGAATAGAGCAGTTTATCTCTTTGGGTATATAATGAAGCTGAAAAAAACAGTGATACAAGGTTGTAAAATTACTAAGGCAAATTACACAGGTCCAGGTTTTTTGTTTGTTTGTTTTGTTTGTTTTTAGGTATTCTTCCCAGTTCACTTGGATGTTAATTTTTTCTGGAATGTATAGTATAGTATTTCTAGTATTTTCATAGTGTAATATAGACATCAAGACAAAACTAAAGGTGAAGCTTCCCATTTCAAAGTCCATTCTGTTCCCGTTATTCCTCTCATTTCTTTTCTGAGGGAAAAGCTTCAGGGTAGATGGAGTTACTGAAAGAAATATTTGGCTGTTAAAGTCACTGGACTGGAAGCTGAGGAGTCACTCCTTAGATTTGAGGGCGTATAAGCCAAAGTCAAGCATTTCCCAATCATCTCCAGGAACTGAACCTTGTTTTCCAACTTTTTAAGGCCTAGCTTAAGGAAATCAGCCAGATAGGAGACATGAATGCTTATCCCTTGACTTCTGTGGTCTTTGCAGATGAGTATGTGGCAAGCCTACACCTGCCCACCTTTGATGCCCACCTGACAGAGCTGACAGACAAACAAGCCAAGTATCTGGGACTCAACAAGAATGGGCCCTTCAAGCCTAATTCTACAGGTGCCTAATTACTGCAGAAAGCAGAGAAAGGCTGGGCAGTGAAGAGCTTTGGGCAGTCCAGCCATCCCCTTGAACTCCCACACATACCTTTATATGAACTCAGAAAAATGGCGCATTTCCTCCAGGTCTCCCGCCTCAAAAAACTGAGATCTTCTTTAAACATACGCCATACGTCTGCCCCCATGCACATGCTAGCCTTTAAAATTACATTTTTTCCCCTTCTTTATGTTGTGAGTGTGTGTTTATGTGTGTGTGGAGGAGGGTGCATGTGCCATATTACACATGTGGAGGTCAGAGGTCAACCTATGGGAGTAAGTTTTCCTGCCGTGTGAGTCCTGGGAGACGCAGGCTTGTTGGCAGGTGCTTCTATCCAGTGAGCCTTCTTGCTGGTCCATGGCCTTTTCACTGGCGTGAAAGGAGCCCACGGTTATCTATCCTCAGCATATACACTAGAAAGCCCTGTCTCCCTGTTCACCTGTGGGCTGCCAGCTGATAGCATCAGCTCATCTTTCTTTTCCCTCCAGGTATTAAGTTCCTGTAATGCAAGACAGAAGGCGTTTTAAGGAATAGAAGAACCAAGCCCTTTCTCCACTACCTATCCAAGGAAGAACCCAACAAGCTGCTCCTCCTCCAGAGCTGCCCGCCGTGCTACATCCTATGTGTTGGGTTATTTATTTATTAAAATCTAGAATCCTGTGCCTGTAGCCTTGGCCCAGAGTGTGGTTACTACTCCTGGGGCCCTGAGAGCCACAGAAGACAGGCTGGAAGAAAGAAATGGGCAATAATCGTTCCAAGTGCATCATTCACGTCGGTGCCCGTTGATGGAATCCTCAATGATGGCCATTTTTCTTTTCCAGGCTCAGGTTAGTTCAGGGATGCCAGACTCCTTGTTACTTGGGGTTTTCCTGGAATACATTTTCAGCAGCTGCCTTTCTCAAAGCTTTGGTCTTTCCCCAGGTGAGGCCTTTTTTGGAAGCCACTGACTTAACAGGGCCTGGATTTGGTCTTGAAAGTTCCTGTCACTGCCTTCTTTATATAAAAAAGCTAGTGAGGTTCGGAGTTTTATGTAAGGTCTTGTAAGCTACCCAGAACTCAGCTGTGCCTGTGTCTGTGCCTACTGGGCTCTCTCTTCTTACCCAGGACTCCTTTCTGTTCCTTGAATATTATGTTCGTTTTAATGCTTCCCGGTTCCAGAGGGGTGTGCCTCCGTAGTCTTAATACCTCTGGTGTTGGCCAGGCATTTGTTTTGCTCTCTGCCCCACTAAACTCTGCTCAGGAAGTAGGGGACCAGTTCACTGGGACCCATAGTTCTGCTTCCTTGTCATTTAACTGGGCCGTTTTCTAGGAAGTCCCCTCTAGACTGACACTGTCTCAAAAAGAGAGCTTCATGTGGATAGTGTTTCCTAAAACTTCTTCTGGAACTGAGCTGGCAAAGATGTTTGCTAGAGATTTGGAAGCTTGAGACTTTGGAGGATCCTGCTTGTCATCCTGAAAAGCAAGTCTGTTTTCCAGGACAGACGTCATGGCCTACCTACAAAGACAGGTGAAACTCTGTCATCTGTATCCACATGATGAAAAGCAGTGTGAGGACCGGGGTATAGCCTAGTGGTGAAGCAGGTCCTGCATGTATAAGGCCCTAGGCTCAGTCACTAGATGCCAGGGAAGGGGATGGGAGCTAGTTTGAGCCTCATCAGGCATTTGCGCCTTTGGCTGTTGCTCTAGGGAAAAGTGGGAATCTGCAGTCCCGTATCTCATCTTTCTCTGCTGCTGCTGCTGCTGCTGTATCTTTATGCTCTGGCCCCCTCTGTTTTAGGATTCTATTTCAGGGAGTAACTTAAGTAACTCCCATCATTATAAAAAAACTAGTAATGTAAACAATGTGAAATTTCTCGTTCCACCCAAGATTTAGATTTCCTTTGGAGGCGAACTGACTGGTTTCAAGGTTTCCATTGGGATCGATTGTTTTCAAAAATTAAAACCTGTGTGGCCCTTGGGTCCTGGGTTAAATGAGTTCCTCTCATGGCCCATCCTACTTTAAAGCCTCATGTTTGTTTCCTGTGTATTTCTTATATTTTTGTGCTTCAAAGTCTCAAGACCAAGGTCATTCAAACAGAAGACACATGGATTCACGCCCTGCTCTCCCCATCTCTACTTGGCCTTTTCAGATGCCCTGGGAGCTAGCCTGGGAGTGGTGTCCTTGTTCTTGAAGATAGAAACAGACCTTTGCCGTATTAGATGGTATTCAGGCTCAGCCCGAAAATAAATTCTTCACAGGGCATCATCTGTGGCTATATTCTCTTTTATGCCGAAGACCATAGAGGCTAAAGAGGCCACAAAGATACTAAGTTCTGTTTTACTCATTCACACTTGTGTTATAGCTTATCGTATCCCACTCTCCCACTACCATCTCTGTTTTTATTGTGTTGGGGTTTGTTGTTGTTTTAAAATAGTCTCACTCTGTAACCCTTGCTGGCCTCAAACCTACGGCGATCCTCCTGCCGTGCCTCCTGAGGTGTGTACTACCATGCCTAGCTAGCTCTTAAGTGGGTCTCTTTAGCAAAAAATTCAGATATCTGTGCCTCAATCTTATGTCCAGGGCGGATTCCATTAGGCAGGTATCTGGACTCTAATTTTTATATACATGGGCCTCAAGTCCTAACCTGCTGGTTTCCAGCAAAGCCTTGCTCTCCACAGAGCTTCCTATGTGTGGTACTTACAGAGTACACTCTGTCAAACCATGGTGAAGAGACCCATTGGAAATAGGAAGGGAGCCACTTGGGTCTCTAAGGTGGGTTGCACTGTGTCTGGCCGCGGTGAGGTATTTGACTATGAGTTGCAAGCGACCATCTACCCTTCTCTCTGGAGACTGCTGTGTCATCAACCATTGAAAGCAACCGAAGTAGGGATGCTAAGTCGGTGGCAGGACACTTGATTAGCTACGGTGTACCCACCCCGGGTCAAATCCTCAGTCCAGGGGCTTGTGGGGAATGTGGAATAAAGACAGAAGGTGGCCCAGGACTCCTGTCTAATTTTGGTCCTGTTAGAACCAAATCATTGCTCCCTCTAACGAAATCAGAACATCTTCTTATTCCAACACTTCCTCTGGGTGAATCCTAGCTCCCGGAGGTAAGAAGAAGACCGATTATCTCTGGGTATGTGGCCCTGGCTGATGGGGACACTACCTCTCATCTACAACGAAATGTGTGCTACTTCTTCACGGTCTTCTTGCTTTCTTAGTGGAAACATTGTTTCCCTTTTTCTTGTTAAAATTCCTCTGGGCCACCTTCCCTCTTGCCCTCCTCTCCCTCCTCATGTGCCCTTCCACAGGGGAGCACCCCCCCATGCCACACACTCCTGCAAAGCTTTTCTTTGCTGCTTGGCTTTCTCTCTGAACAGATCTGAAATTGCTGCTCCTGTGGTTTCCTCAGAATTAACTTTGTCATGGTTTAAAAAAAAAATCAGAATGCATTATTGCATTAAACTTTTATAAGGAAAAATTATGGAAAGAAAATAGGTAACACCAGCAAATTATATATTGATAAGCCTAAACTATATATATACACATATATATATACATATATATATAAATAATCATCTAGTTCTTCCTGTCACCTTACTGAAAGGAACAAGACCTCTAAGGATCACCAGTTCTCGGAAGCTCTTGGAAATTTTATGTCTAAGTGATTGTATTAGATCAGCAATAATGACTATGTAATCTCAAAAAAAATAAATAAAAATTCTTAAAACTGATCTGTGTCCTGAGAATACCACTTGCATCTGTGAACTAGGAACTCAGAGATGAGAGGTATCTGGGCAGCAGACGTGCAAGGTTATCTGCCATACACAAAGGTGTAAACAGCTGATGCCACCACCAGCAGCCATGTTTGAGTGAACCATTGCCTTCTGAGATTGTTTTACACTGAGACCCTGCTAATGAGTACCTTGTCCCTCCCCCACCACCTAACCTTGACACACACCTTCTCAGAACCAACACCTTCTTGAGATAGGACTGTAGGTCAGTTACCATTTTAAAAAATAAATAAATAAAGCATGGATCTAGGTCACCAATACCACTGTGCTGTTAGCAACAGTTTACCCACCAGCCGGGTCCCAGAGTCGTGTCAGCCCCAAATACACATAGATACTGTATTGGATATAACACTGTTGGCCAGTTACTAGCGTTTCTTGTTGGCTAGCTCTGTCTTAAATATTAACCCATTTCTATCAATCTAAGTGTTTCCACGTGGTCTTATCTTACGGAGAGAGGATCCGGACCTCTTCCTCTCGTGTCTACATCTTGACTCTCCTCTACTACATCTCCCAGAGGCCTCCTTGTCTCCTAGTTCCACCTATCTTTCTTTCCTATTTGCCAACAGTGCTTTATTCATTAGCCAATAAGAAAACTATATTTACAGAATGACATCTCCCATCACTGTGCTGCCCTTATGTTGGGACCAAAAAATCCTAAATACCCGGAATCTGACTGTATCCAGCCAAAGGGGGGCGGGGGACCAGGAAGAGTTTTATCTCTAAATTAGAAACTAGACCACGAACGGTTGCCTGTTCTTTCTCAACTATTTGTAAGCTTGTTATGGGGGGGGGTAATTTTTCTTATAATTTACTTGCTTATAAACTGTAATGCTTTATGTTCAGTTTTATTAGCCCGATGTATAAAAAATACTGTTTAAAGTAGGCCCTGGAGAAATAACTCCATGGTTAAGAGCACTGGCTGCTCTCTCCAGAGGACTCAAGTTCAATTCCCAGCACCCATATGCTGGCTCACAAGCGTCTGTAACTCCAGCTCCTGATGATCCAACGCCCTCTACAGGCACTGCGTGCACATGATCTGCACAGACACAGGCAAAAACAAAAGGAGGACATTGCTTAAAGACACTGGCACATACTGGTTACTTCATAACCTCCAGTTCTGGGTCCCAGACTAGGGCCCCACAGCCTCTGTTGCATCCTGTGCCAAATGTGCTCTTTATCATCCTGTCTGTCTAGTAACCCACCAGAAATAAGGGAATTGGGAAGACCTCCTGCATCTTATTTTTTAAGCTGTTTTAGGGCCAGGTACTTACTATCTATTTAACGAAGTATTTTGCTTTTGTGAATTAGAGTGCTTAAATGTTTTATCTCTAATTATTCATCTTTGTACCATCAACCCTCTGTTAGAAGCCCCAGTTTGGAAATAAAGCCTTGGGACAAGAGAACTTGGTAGTATATTGTGTGTGTTCCGAGTTTTCTTTTTTTCTTTTTTTTTTTTTTTTTTAGGATTTTATTTTTAATTCTGGATCTGTGTGGGTATGTGAGTGCTGAGTGCTGGTGCCTGTGGAAGCCAGTGACCTACAGGCAGTTGTGAGCCACCTGGTGTGGGTGCTGGAAACAACTGAACTCGGGTCCTCTGGAAGAACGTGAGCCCTCTTAACCACCGAGCCATTACAGCCCTGCATGTACAGAGTTTAAAAGACTGGCAACATCTCAGCAAGTGGAAAAGACATAGACCGGCCTGACAAATGGTCTCCCAGGTAAACTGCTGGG